TTCAGCATATTGAGACTATTCTATTGTCCTCTGCCTTCTGCTCTGTTAAGAAGGCAGTTGTTAGTCTAAATTGTTACTCTTTTGTGTGGCTCTTTCTTCTCTCTATGGCTGTATAAATAAAACTTGTTTTCATAGAGAGTTGAAGCAGGAAAAGAAGAGACAAATGTTTAAGAGTCCCTGTGTTGAGTGCCATCGGTATGTCACTTGCTGTCTGTGTATCATGTTCAGGATAAGTATGCCAGTAAGCATCTCCATGAAGGATTTCACATAATCACAATAGCACTGGTTCCTTAACATTGCCTAATATACATTCTAAGTTCAAATCTTATCATTTATCTCAGAAATACTTTATATACTTGTTTTGTTTGACTTCTTTCTTCCTTCCTTTCTTTTGTTCGTTTGTTCGTACCAGGGATCGAACTCGGGACCTTGCCCTTGCAAGGCAGGCAGCGGAACCACTGAACTGAACCCCTGACCCTCTAGCTTTGTTTGAATCAGTATGCAGACTTACCTGAATTTGCTCAGTCTCAGTCTCTTTACAACAGTTTCTCCCTTCTGCTTTTATTCATGCCATTTATTTGTTAAAGAAGCAATGTTTTTTTGTCCTGTAGAACTTTCTCTATTCCGGATCTGTTTGACTGTGTCATGCCTTCCTCTGTCTTCGCCACACCTTGTTTACTGGTAATTAGAGTAGAGCAGGGTTTCTGAACCTTGGCATTACTTTCTTCCTGTTGGCAATGCCTTGTGCATTGTAGAAGGGTTGGCAGCACCCCTGGCCTTGACCCACTAGATGGAAGCAGCACTGCTTGTTGTGAGAACCTGAGGATGTCTCTAGACGTTGAGCAGATCGCCCATCTGAGAAGCTCACATCCAGAAGCTCAGTGGGGAAGCATCCAGCTCTCTCGCCTGGCGGGTGCATCCACAGCATGATGACCGAAAGGGCCGTGTCAGGGATGGGCTCTCTCTGGGTGATAGTAAGGTGGATCGGTGGGTTCAGCTGGATCTGTTCTCCATCAGATTCTCCACAGCCTTCCCCCTAAATGGCTCCAGTTAACAGAGTGGTGGCATCACTAAGGTTGCAGAATGGTGAATTTGTAATTCTGTCTTTCTGCATTTATTATTTAGACCTTTTTATAAGGAAGATCTTACTTCATGAAATGTTTGGTTACCTTGACATTTAGTTTATAGTGTATTAAGCAAGAGATAGGCTTAATTCTGTCCTTTTATTTTTAAGCTTTCAAAATAGTTGCTGACTCCAAATATAAACAGTGAGAGATTTAATAAGATGATTATGTCATTATGAAAGTTTTGATATAATTGATACAGTCCAGTCCTCTGAGAAATCACTGTCACTTCTGATGCTTAATTTGTTCCTTCGGGGCCAAGGGCCACCCTTTCAGGTTGGCTTTTGTGTTCCTCTAGTGCCTGTAGGAGTCTTCAGCAGCACCCTGGTTGTTGTCTCTGATAGTATGTTCCAGGACCGTTTTATACATTGCTTGCCCCAGACCTGGAATTGGCCATTTCTCACGACTACAGGTCTGTGGTCTGTTTCTTCCTGCAGTGGCCCTGAGCCTGTGACAACTCGGCACTGAGACTGAAGGTCAGGTCTGCCTTGGAGTATTTAGGAGCTGTGGTGTCCTGGGGAGCTAACCCTTCCCTTGCAGGGATTTGTCGGTTTCTCCTGGCATGGCTTCTTCATGTCCCTGGCCTGCTTTCTCACTTGTTTCTGCTTGCTTCTGGGGCCACATCCTTCATCGTGTGACTGTTCTTCATCCTTCCCTTCTCAGCAGAGGCTTTGTGAGGTAAGCGAGCCCTAGAGAACATGCATTGGTTGACTGCTTTTCAGCTGTGGGTGGTGCCTAGATAGTGTCATTCCGGATATGCAGGGGAGATGTTCTTTCTGTGTCATGGAGGGCTTGGGAAAGCCAGTCTTGAATTCTGTCCCATTCTCCTAACCTGTGGGCATTCTGTGGGCCAAATGTGAGACATGTTTTGTCTAGAGGATTTGCGTGTCCTTTTTAGGGGTTAGCCCACCTAACCCCGCCCGGCCTCTTCTCAGACGCAGTTTGACCTGGAGAGTCAGCGCCGGGCTCAGGGCTCCTGTTTTCCCTCAGACCATTCCTCAGGACAGCCTCAGTGTCTCCCCTTGGGAGATGGCACAGCACCGGTTGGGTGCAGAGCCAAGTGATGGAGCTCCAGAACTCTGGCCTCAGGCCTTCTGGAGTCAGATTCTTCCTCCTCTGCAGTGAGCCATTTTGCTTGCCTCTTTCATTGGTGATTTGATTTTTGTTAATATCAACACTTTTTTCTTTTGAATAGCCTGCTTCAATTCAATGAGTTTATTTAGTCTGTGGCACTCCTCATCTAGATCTGATCCGTCCTCTTTTTTTCTTGTTATGCGTTGAAGTGGCAGTTTTTGTAGGGTTTTGTTACGGTAAATCTGCTTAGGAGGGGTGGTTCCACCCAGACACCGGCGCCTTTGTTAGTCTTCTGAGCAGCAGACAGTGAGTGCAGGTTGGTTCTTCTGAGTCTGTGTACTCTTGGTTTGGTTTTGTTGTCATTGGAAAGGGGTCTGAGAAGGTGCAGTTTTAAAATAATAAATATAAAATATGCTCATTGTAGAAATGTTTTTTTAAATGTTAAAAGTTTAGTGAAAAAGTTTAGATTGATGTCAGAAAGCCACTGTGGGCCCCCACTCTGCAGCCTGGAGAGAATTTATTGCTTCTCATTTCGTGCTTCTTTGGTTGGGACCATGTTCCTCCTGTCCTAACTGCCAGTTTATTTATATCTAATGTCCTTTAAACTCTCATAGGTGGGTTTTTTTTTTTTTGTACCAGGGATTGAACGCTGGGACCTTGGGCTTGCGAGGTCATAGGTGTTTCTGATAGCCATTGTATGGCCCTTCATATAAATACTGAATATTTTACTTAGCTGGCCTACGATTGCATGTTTTTAATTTTTCACAATAATATTATTTATTACAGGCTAGGTGTGGTTGTCCATGCCTGTAATCCCAGCACTCTTTGAGACTGAAGCAGAAGGATTACATATTTGAGCCCAGACTGAACAACTTAGTGAGATCCTGTCTCAAAAAAAATTTTTTTTTTTTTTTTGGTACTGGGGATCGAACTTGGGACCTTGCACTTGTAAAGCAGGTCGCTGAACCACTGAGCGTAATCCCCACGCCTCAAAATTTTTTAAAATAAGTTTTTTAAAGGGCCTGGGATGTAGCTCAGTACAAAGACACCCCCTCCCCCAGGTTTAATTCCCAGTATGGGACAGGGTAGAGGGAGGAGAATTTATTTATTTATTTAGTTAGTTTTTTTTGAGACAGGGTCTCACTGTGTAGTTCAGACTGACCTGGAACTCATTAATGTAGCCCAGGCTGGTCTCAAACTAACAGGGATCCTCGTGTCTCAGCCTCCCAAGTGCTGGGATTAAAGGCGTGCACTACCACGCCAGGCTGGGAGGAGAATTTATAACAAAGACTTTGTGACTACTTACTTTTGTATGCACACTTTATTTCCTCCAGAGGTAATGTTTTATGACTAGAATTTTGTAGATTTCAAAAAAGTTTTGCCCGTTACTTTCTCGGAGATTATGTAATTTACATTTTCAGCGTGGAAATTTGATAGTAGTGTACTTGTTTCAAAAGGGGTTGATTTCAGAGCACTTGCAGGCAGGTTGCCTCAGCTCTGGAGCTGAGGGCTGTGTGCCGTTCTCATGTTCTGCTTACGGCTCCAGGCTGTTTGCAGGAGTCCAGAGGGCCAGTGTGAGGGAGGGGCTGGAGATTTGGTCTTCACAGTAGACTCTGGGGATAAGCACCTCCCCCCATTCCTCTTCCTCTTCCTCCTCCTTCTCCTCCTTCCTCTTCCTCTTCTTTTTCTTTTTTCTGTACCGGGAATCAAACTCAGGACATTGTGCTTGCGAGGCAGGCATGGTGCCACTGAGCTACATCGCCGGCCCCAGCACCTTCATTTCTGTTGCTCTTTTTTAATTTTATTTTTTATAAGTACACATTTTCAGTATGGAGTGATTACATGCAGCCTGGTTTGATATGAACATACATCACATCTTGATCATATTTATTCCTTCCCTTCTCCAGTTCCCTTTCCATCTCTGCCAACATTCCCTCCTTGTTCTTTAATGTGGCCCTTTATTTTGTTCATTACATTGTTTACGATTATATTTTGGAGCTCTCATATTTAGAAGTACCATGTGATATTTAACCTTTTATGACTAACTTATTTTTGCTACTTAGCATCCTCTTTGCTTTTATTCTCTTAAAAGAAAGTTAAATGAGATAGGGCAGTAGGAGGTGGCTCAGGTTACTGCACTGTCTCCCTTGGTGTCCCTCAGGAACTCGGTCACCCATGAGACCGGAAATAAGCATTAGCATAGTCAAAAATAAAGACATAAGAGGATTCTACATAATGTACCAAGAAAAGGAGCAAAGCTCACAGCCATTTTAACTCAAAGCGTTTGGTTTTTAGGTGCAGAGCTGAGTATGGGGCTGAGAGGACAGAGGAGCAGCCAGGGAGGGGTGGTAAAGTGTGGGAGCCCCGTCCTCTCCCAGGGGTGAGGGCAGCAGGCAGGGGCTGCAGGAGGAGCCCTGGGCCAGGTCAGGCTGGACTGAGAGTTAAAGGGACATCTGTGATTCTGTGGGCTGCTCCAAGACCACAGAAGGTACAGGGAAAGACCCCCCAGGCTCCATTGTGCTTAGCACTCATGGAGGGACGGCATCCTCGCCAAGGGAGTCGTGTCCAGCTGGTGCCTCTCCCTCTGCACCCCTCGATGTGAGAGGCAAGGAAGTGCCTGTCTGGGCATCTGTGGTAGGCAGTGCTCGGGTTCTATTCTTGCTGTCTCAGTTGTTTTACCCGGGAGAAATTGTGTTCTTAGCCACACACTCTTCCCTTGGTGGCCTGCCTTGCTTGCGTGTAACACTGATGTGGGCTTTATGGGTGCTGCGCTCCTAACTTGGAGGCCCTGTGTCCTTATAGGTGGTAACGTGGACCTGGAAAGCCAAGCAGAGGGGAAGAAGGAAGTGGAAGCAGATGATGTGCTGAGGAGTGGCCCCCGGCCCATTGTCCCGTACAGCTCCATGTTCTGTCTAAGCCCCACTAACCTGTGAGTCTCCACACCCGCCCTTGCTTCCTCTTGCCCTGTCCATCCACTGCTGGGCCCACGCGAACACCATAGCCAGCATGCATGGGCTATGCAGCTGCAGGGATGGACTCTGCACACTTTGTTCACTGAGTACCTCTAGCCATCCAGCAGTCCCGGGAGGCGCGCCCCATCACCTCCTCCTGTAGACGAGGACACAAAGGCGCCAGGAGTTGTCTGAGGTGGAGCTGGCATACTCTCTAGAGCTGTGCCCCTCCCTGCGCTGCAGCATGAGCTCCGTTGCACACAGGGCCCCTTTATCCCTGTCATATTTAACACCTTCCTCCAGCCACCTTTCCACCATACTGTTGCCCGTGTGTGCATGTGTGTGCATTGCATGTTCACATGTTGACCGTAGGTCCCCTCCTATGTTTATCACAGTTTGTCATCTCTAATCAGTCCAGTGCTTTCATGAATCCAGACAATATTTGTGTGCAAACAGCATTCTAGGTGCTGGTACCGAGACAGACAAGAATACTTGTCCTTGCCCAGAGAGTGGGAGTCTGGGCTGGTGGGAGAGAAAGACAGCAAGCAAGACAATTCGAGAGACATAAAATGTCAGCAATAAGTGCCAGGAAGAAACATGAGTTGGAGGCGGACATGTGGGCTGCTGGGGGCTAAAGCTAAATGGAGAGGTCAGTGGTGGGGCTCAGAAATAAGGTAGAGCCAAGACTTGAGAAGGGGTCGCAGAACACTCTAGGGAGAGGTAGAAGAAAGCTGAGACACACAGACACCACTCCAGGGAGGAGGGCAAAGGACAGCAGTGTCAGGGGGCCCCTTGCTGATCGGCCTTGGGTCAGTTGGGTCCTCACCCGGCCCTCCTCGCTCGCCTCTCTCCCTGCTGCCTCCTTTCTTGCATTCGTGCACACATACTGTTGGAAGCTAGCCCTGCCATGCTAGTGGGTAGGAGTAAAATGGTAACAGACTGAGTGTGCTGGGAAGGCAAAGTGTAACCATCAAGTGAGGATAGCGCAGAGGAGGAGCTCATGTTCCTTAGAGAAGGGCACTGAGTAGAAGCAGAGCTGCACGTAGCCAGAGCAGCTGAGCTGGAAAGCTGGAGAAGAGTAGCTACCGGGTAGCCAGGGGAGGACCTTGGTGGTCCCTGAGGAGCACGGAGGAGAAGGGGAGGGATGGATGCATGGTTGGGGGCCCCCTGACCAGGAGAGAGGAGCCTACTTAGTAGGTGGTCCAGGAAGAGACTGGCTCCGTTTGATCTGGGTAGTCCCTGCGGAGAGTTTGGTGTGGAGGTGAGGGGTGAAGGCAGGAGGAGCTGGCAGCAGGTAGCGCCTGTGGCAGGAGAGCTGGACTGGCCTCTCCGCTGGTGTGTGGCTGCTCTTTCTTGCCCACCACTTGGAGACTGGCCTTGCTGACCTGGCCACTGTCTATTGCTGTGTGGTAGCATTTGTCAGCATCGCACAGCCTCCTGTGTATTTTGGCATTCCTCACTGGTGTTCTGCCTGCTGGCGTGGAGCTTGCTGAGGCTGGGCATTTGCCTCTCTTGGGCTCTGCTGTGCCCCTGGTGTCCAGCAGATGCCCAGAGTGTTGAACAAGCTAGTGAGAGTCAGCAGGTGACTGAGCAGAAGGAAGTGTGTGGCAGTGTGTTCTCACGCAGCCTGGGAACACACCCAGCACAGGGACCAGACAGACACCATCCTGAGGGTGAGCCTTTGGCAAGTGCTGGTGCTGAAATCCTCCTCTCTAACCCAATCTTCCACCTGCTGCAGCGCACCAGTTTTGCAGATCCAGATGGGCAGTGGTGTCACTTGAGGCTACAGATAGTAGATAAATGGGTGGATACAGTTGTCCTCCCCATTCACATACAGAGAAGCCTGCGGGCTGTCATTTGCTGGCCTCTGACTCTAGGCCCCTCAAGAATCTTTCACCAACAGTCAAGTGGTTGCTGTCCACTGACCTCAGGGACACTTGGCAAAGTTCTCTCTGGTGTCACAGCAAGAGCCCTTCCTGCAGGAGAGGGCGGTGTGTGTTCCAGTTCGCGGGCCCAGTGGCGACATTGCACTGTCCTTACAGGCTCCGTCGCTTCTGCCATTACATTGTGACAATGCGGTACTTCGAGATGGTCATCCTCGTGGTCATTGCCCTGAGCAGCATCGCCCTGGCTGCTGAGGACCCTGTGCAGACAGACTCATCCAGGAACAACGTGAGCGGCTCTGCGGGCCAAGCCTGCCACCCAGCTGTGGGGATACGTGGGGCATGTTCTCGGGGCTGTGAGGCTGGTGTGCTGTGGGGTTCTGTGTCCTCACCCTCCTCCCTTCTGTGTCCTTCCTCTGGGTCACATTCAGGGCTGCGATTGGTGGGGGCCTGGTTCCCGAGAGGAGCCTGTCTTAGTGTGCTCCCCTGATGGTCATCTGCTCAGAGCTTTAGGGGAAAGCTGGGCCCCAGGAATGGTCCTGGCTCTGCTTCCTGCCCAGCCTTGGAGAGTAATCCTCCTTTTGGTTGCAGGCTCTGAAGTACATGGATTACATCTTCACAGGCGTCTTCACTTTTGAGATGGTGATAAAGGTAATCCATGGTCCCTGAGGCCTCTGGTGGAGGGTGTTTGAGGCGTGCACTGGCTTGTGCTCAGTGATTAGGGTGTCTGCTCTGTGCCATGATGTATTCTGAGAGTCCTAGCTCCATGCTGCCCTTTGGGGTGCCCCAGTGGCTCCTGATCTTGCTGCTTGGCTCCTGAACATAAGTGCCCCAGGCTCAGCAACTCTCCAGTTTCCTGGTGCACCCAGAGGAGGGGGCCATGTGACAGCAGTTAGAGGACAAGGAGACCTAGGAGAGTGTGGTGGCTGGTGGACTGTGGGAGTGCAGGCCATAGACCAAATTTCAAGGGTATTGTGTTGGACAATAGGCGAGTCTACCATGCCTCTTTAGCCTTCATTTTCCTTCCTAAAGTGACCCTTACTACAACTGACAAGGTGGCTGTCATGTGTGCTTGCACAGGCGTGCATTCACTGCAAATGGATATGCACATGTGTGTGTATACTCACGACTTCAGTGCAGCTCAAGGTGTGAGGTGCCTGGGTGTATGCACCCAAGGTCACTTTTATGTATGGAGAATTAAAATGGGTATATAAATGTATTACCCTGCTGTTTAACATACAGTAACGTCACTGGAGTGTGACTCCCATTTCAAAGGAGACAGCTGAAGCAATTGGAAAAACATACAGTAAGCCTACCGTGGTGGTATGTGCCTATGATCCCAGCATTCTGGGAGACTGAGGTAGGAGAATCTCAAGTTTAAGCCCTGCCTGGATAACTTAGTGACTTAATGAAATCCTGTCTCAAAATTTTAAAAAAGGGCTAGGCATGTAGCTCACTGCAGAGGCCCTGGATTCAATACCCAGAATCAGGGGGAGAAAAAAAAAAGCAGTGCTAGGAGTAGCAGAGCCAGGTTGTAAGTAGAGCTCTGTGAAATTCCAACCAGTTCTTCTCATTGCCCTGAGCTGATCCTCTGGGGTCTGGGCAGGCTGTGAACTCCCTAGGGTAAAATGTGTGCCTGCTGCCCAATGATGGAGGAGTAGAGGGAGACAAGAGACTTCACTTTCTTATTAGGGATCTGGGGAGGTGAGGAATGCAGGAAGGCCATTGTGATGTTTGAGGCAGAGGCCCACTGAGGTTGTGAGAGTGTGTGGCTTGCCCGGGCATGGGAGCGGTGCCAGAGCTGCACTTTTACCTCAGTGTGCAGAGTGCTCTGTGGCTGGCCAGCCCTGCCTCCCTCTTCTGGGATAGAATGTACTGTAGGTGTGCTTCTGCTTCGCAGATGATTGACTTGGGGCTGCTGCTGCACCCTGGAGCCTACTTCCGGGACCTGTGGAACATTCTGGACTTCGTTGTGGTCAGTGGGGCCCTCGTGGCCTTTGCCTTCTCGTAAGTAACCGCACTTGCTCCAGATTTCGTGGGTGCAGCCACCAGAACCGCGGTGGGGCTGGGTGAGGAGGAGGGACAGACCCTGTCCGCCTCGCTGGGTCTTCTAGACCTTCCTTCGTGGCCCCTCCCCGCCTGCCTGAGCTGGGGTGTGCAAGGTTAGCAGGACCGAGCCCTGTCTGTCCACAACTCAGCCTGGAGTCTGGGACTAGGTAGGCAACAGGCCCTAGCGTTTTGTCTTTTGTCTTGAGGGGCCCTTCTGAGGCCAAGTGCCTGACCAGGGAGACCATGCTGTTTTCTACCCCAGCTAGAGCTGGTGGGTGTCTTCCTCTTTGGGGGCGGGATATCTTCCTATGATCCTGAGGGAGTGGTGCTTAGCCCGGCAGTGGGTGGGACTGCACGGAGGGTGTGATGCTCAGCTGGGCCAAGCGTGGGGAGATACGGGGGAAGCCATGGGTAAGACCGAGGTGAGAAGGACTGTGGTGGAGGCCAGATACCGAGGGAAGGGTCCTCATCTTCCCTGCCCCCGCTCTGTCTCCCACGACACTGACTCTGTTCTTTTTGTCTTCCTGTTGCCGGACTCGGTAGGAGCTTCATGGGGTAATGCCTCCCCCCACCCCACTGCCACCAACATCACAGCACACCCAAGGCCTCTGGCCGTCCCGTCATCAGCCTCACTGTGCTCATCCACCTCCACCTACCTGGTCTGCATGCTGCCAGGAGCCATCCCAGGCCATCATCCCTGCCATGCCTGTGGGGCCAGATGCGGGCTGGGGTGGGCTGGGGAGTTTGGCCTCTGGTGGTTTCCTAGGAACAGGGTGTGCTGAGTGAGCCCTAGAGGCTGAGACCGTGGCCCAGAGGACAAAAGGGATCTGAGTGGGAGCAGCTGCTGTGGCCATAGCCCAGGGTCCTGGCCACCCCAAGGTGTCTTCTCATGCAGCTTGTTTCTGGAAACATTGAAGCTGGCTTTCCTCCTCCTCCACAGCACCCTGCAATACTTAGTGTCTCTTTGGGGTGTCTTAATGGACCTTTTTCTAATGACAAAGGAAGCAAGAACTTGGCCAGTGTCAGCAAAGGACCTTGAAGTGGGAACTTCAAGATGTCAGAAAGGCCTTCAGATAGGAGCAGGGTTCAGCCCTGTGGCCCAAGAGCAAGAAAAGGAAGCAGGTCCCAATCCCACAGGACTACCTGCCTGGAGACCCCTCTCCAGAGACTTCCTCCTGCGCTGGGCCACTGTGCAGTGTAGTGCAGTGCCCTGTGCACCCTCTTCTGGAACACAGAAGAAGCAGAGTAGAAGGGCTGGCAGCTTTGTGTGGAGGTTGTTGATGGTGCCCAGTGATGGCAGCACCTGAGCCTGGTGTGTCAGGGGCAGCTTGGTCTGGTGTGCAGTGTAGAGCTGGGAGGAGTGGGGGCTGAGCTCCGCTTTTCCTGGGAGAACAGCCTGGGATGGGCAGTTCCTCCTGCTCAGCACAGAGTTTTGCTGGTGCCTGAGGAAGTCACTGGGGCAGGGCCCCTGTTCCATGCAGGCTGGGCTGGATGTCTTGAGGCATGGCCTCTGAACAGCCTGGGCAGGGCTCTGTGTGAGGGATGTTGCCCAGTCCTGAGTGTTTCTTGTTAGGGTGAGCGAGGCTTCCTCAGTGGGGAGCTTCTTACACAGCTGGCCTGGATTAGACAACCAACTTCTGGGTCCCCAAGAGGCAGAGGCAACCACCTAGGTCTGCTCTGGTTGTGAAGGCCCTGATGTGGATCCTTTAATTCTGGTCTTCTGAGCCTGCTTCTGGTGTCCAAAATTTTCTTTTCCTTGCTGCTTCTTTCTGTGTTAGTCTTTGACTCTGTTTTTGCGTAACTTTCTCTTTTTTTACTCTTCTCCCTGCCCTTCTTCCTTTTGGTCAGTCTCACATCACCTGGAAGAGGGTGGGCCCCTGAGCATGGACAGGTGAACTGCAGAGCAGGAGCCAAACAAGCCTCTCCATGAGAAGCAGGAAATCGCTTCTCTAGCACCTGGAGCAGGCCCAGCACTGCAGGGCTTGCTTGCAAACCTCCACGTCTGGGCTCCAGCCACATGCCGGCCCCCTCGGGGCTCTCTGTTGCTGGAAGCTGCTTTGGGCCAGGGTTAGGGTGCACTGGGAGATGGAAGTAGTGGCTGTGGTCTGAACAAACATTCTCTTCCCACCCACTCAGCAGTCCCGGAGTGCCACAACTGCGGAACTGGCCCTGGCCCAGGCCTTTGTCCTCAGAGAAGGGCCAGAGCAGGCAGCCACTGGGAGAAATCTCCTGAGTTGGGTCCTCTGCCCTGGAGACTGAGACAAAGTGTGCAGGGCAATGTGAACCATACCTCAGGCTGGGAGGGAGCCAGGCACACCCTCGTACCTTGCCTGTCTGCATCTGTGGCTTCTCCCTTCTAGAGGATCCAAAGGGAAAGACATCAGCACCATCAAGTCCCTGAGAGTTCTTCGTGTCCTGAGGCCCCTGAAGACCATCAAACGGCTGCCTAAGCTCAAGGTAGGAGCCTGGGTTTGGGACTTGTGGAATGTGCAGTGTGTGTGGTATGTGCCTGTGTGTAAGATTGTGCACACATGCACGCACATGTGTGTGTTTACGTGCATCTTCTCAGATCGTCCCCCTGCACGAGGAGTGTGGCGTGCTCAGCCCCACGCCCCCTCAAAGGCAGCTTGTTCCCAACAGTCTCCCGTGAGACTCCTTGTCTTTAGCCCAGGAGTCCCCAGTGAGGCCTTACGTTTTCTTCAGTACTTCAGGCCAAGGAGGGTGCTTCCCAGGGACACAGGATGTGGTTGCTGGATTGGGCCCTGTAGGGTGGACACAGCTGAGGTTCTGGAAGAGGAAGGAAGAGGATAAACCCAATCTTTTTTTTTTTTTTCTCATTGAGTTTATTGGTACATTTTAGGGACACAGTACAGTTACATTCATTACTGGGATCTTGTACCTCTACATGACAGGTCTTGGTTCTCATTTTTCCCCTTGTCCCTGCCCTCCCTTCACCCCCTCCTCCCCTCCCCCTTTACAAACAGTTCATTTCCATTTCTTCATTTTCTCATATTTTCTTTTTTTCCCTTATTTCCTTTCCCCTACCCTTCCCCCTTTCCCTACACCTTTAGCCCCTTTCTTCCTATTTCACATTGTCCATTATATCATTAAGATAAACCCAGTCTTAATAGTTACTGAGCCTATGCTTCCTGTCCTTTACCTCTTTTAATTCTCCAGAGCTATGTTTTGGGCTCTCATTAACAGCTGGGCACTCAAGCCTTCGAGACATTGGGCCAAGTAGGAACTGCAGGATCCAAGCTTGAACTTTAAAAAAAAAAAATCTGCTTGGTGTTTGTAAATCTGTCAAACCCCAAATCCAGCCTGAAGAAACCTGTATGGACTGAGTCTCACTGCAGACTCAAAGGGGTGACACTTCAGTCTAAGTGCTGCTCTTGCCCAGACAACATATAGAGCTCATATTTGTGTGTTAAAACATTCACTATTGTGTGTGTGGGGAGGGGGAAGGCGCTTTATTTCCTTAAAATATCATAACCTTGGCTCCAAAGAAAGTTAGTGATACCAGCAATAAAGCTAAGAGGAAAACTATGAGAACCATGATAGAGTTAAGGAAGAAATCACTGCAAAATTTGTTAAAGTCTTGGAAAAATAAATTTTAAGTGTAAAATTTGGACCTCAGAACCAATTATTTGGTTTCCCATTGTTTCTAATGGGAAACATACATTCAGTTCTTGAACTTTTTGGTGTTAAAACACAAATTTGGAACAAGTTAATTTCGACAACCGGGGGTAACAGTGTATAAGAAAAGAGTTTGTCTAGAACGTGTGTCTGGAGGGGTAGGTGGGAGGTGATATGGGGAGGCGCCAGAGCCCCCAAGCTAGGCAAAGTCATGCCTGCAGTTTAGCAGAGGAAGGGTGCTGAGGGGCAGGTGCTTGCCAGCCAGCATCTCTGGAAATGTGGGTCTGCAGGGTCTGGGAGCAGACTGCACAGGGAAGAGAGGAACCTAAGAGAAAGCCAGTGGGTGGTGGTAACAGACCATTGTTAGCCTTGGGGCCCCAAAACATGCCTGAGTCCCTGTCCTCTGCTACTGTCTTTGGGCCATAGCCTTGCTGCTTTGTCTAAAGACTGGCCATCCCTGCTGTTCATGGGCAGGAGCAGGTCAAGGATAGGACGAGAGGCTATCATATCCTCTGACAGACCTGGCAAGGCCCTCCTGGCTTTTTTCTGTGGCTTGACTGCAGTTCTTCTGGGCATCCGGCCTATATTCGCACCTGCTGCTCATGCCATCAATCAAGGCCAGGATGATCTCTTCATAAGAGAAAGATAGTGGCCATCTGATCCTATGGTGGTGTTGGTGGTAGTGCCTTTCATGCTCAGGGTCCTCAGATGCACCTAGATGTTGGGCCTCATTGGTCCTGAGTTTCCCAGCCTTTGGCTGCCTGCCCTGTATTCCCTGTTGGTCTGCCTAACCTGCTTCCCTTAGCCGCACCACTGCCTCCTCAGCTTCTGGGTAGCACTCAGCCTTACCCCGTTCATGTGGCCCTGCCACTCACATAGCTCTGCTCTCCTGCTTGCAGGCTGTGTTTGACTGTGTGGTGAACTCTCTGAAGAATGTCCTGAACATCCTGATTGTTTATATGCTCTTCATGTTCATATTTGCCGTCATTGCAGTACAGCTCTTCAAAGGGAAGTTTTTCTACTGCACTGATGAATCCAAGGAGCTGGAGAGGGACTGCAGGTAAACAGGGGCAGGGTGGGGCACACTCAGCACCGGATGGAGCGCCTAGTGTTTTTCATGGACCAGGTGGGGCTGATCACATGGCTCAGGAGCCTCCTCTGCACAGTGGGGACATATAGTGAGGCCTGCTTGGGTAATGCTGGTAATGAAGAGGGGTATCCAGGGCAAGAGCCTCACCAGGGCTCCTCAGCATGTCTTCCTCCACATGGTTAGGGACCAGCTCTGCTTTGCCTGCAGACATCCAAGGATCTCACTGTAGTCCCAGCAGGGCATTGTGCCCCAGGGTTATCTCAATCTAAACCCTAGCTAGAGATGTAGCCTGGGCTGTAAGGGCAGAGGGGCTGCTCACCACTGGGGATGCTTTCACTGTCCATGGGATGCCTAAGATCTGCTTGGGCCCTCTCTACCCTCAAGACAGGAGAGGTCCTCTTGGGGAGGGGATAGCAAAATGAGCACTCTACCCAGGGTCAGTTGAACAATGCTTTCGTACCTTCGCAGCAAAGGTCTCTGTTGTCTCTGGTTATGTGGATGTCACACAGTTTATTGATCCACTCTGTGATGGGTAGACATGTGAATGGTTTCCATGGGGGTCTGTCCTGAACAATCCCACATGGATATCTGTTGCGGGACCGTGCACTGACATCTGGGAGGTCAGTCTAGCAGGGTTATGCCTGCGTGGGTAGTGCCTGTGTCCGTCTTTGCCAATATTGCCAAACACTTGTGTGAAGTGATGCCTCTCCAGCATGAAGAGAGCCCTTTATTCTCACTTAATGTCTTCTGTCTTGTTACTCAGCTTTTTGGCTACAGTGGTTCGATTTACGCTTGTGAGGTGACTAGTTAGGTTGCACCTCCTTTCCTGGTTGGATTGGCTTTTCAGATGCCCTTTCATGGGTAGTGTCCATTTCAAGTATTTACCCGTTTTCCCCTGTGGGTTGTCTGTCTTTAGGTTGATTTGTAGGAATTCTGTCATGTCCTGGGTAGGAACCTTCATGTGATCTGAGAATTATAAATGTCTTTTCTTCCTTTGTGGGTGCTTCCTGTTCTTTCAGTGAGTTTTTAAAAGAACATAATGTAAAGAACAGTGGTCTCTTAAAGAGCAGGATTTTCCACTTAACGTTTTACAGTGGTACCTCAGTTCATGAACTTAATTTGTTCCACAACTCTGGATAAGATAGCCACGTTTATGTCATGAAGGGAAGATGACCATGGTCATGTTGTCGCCTGATGTGGTTTGTACACAGAAACACGATTTTGCCAAACACTTGTGTTTATGAACCAAAATGTTCACAAGTGTTTGTGAACCAAAGCATCACTGTATATTCTTTAATGTTTACTACTCTCAACCCTACTTAAGAAATCTATCCCATGGTTAGGGATATTTTCTTCTGAAGTGTTGTTTCTGCCTCTCCTTCAGATCTCGTCTGTTGAAGCTAATTTTGTGTTGTAGAAGGCATGGACAGAGATAAATTTTCTGAAGGTGGATAATCAGTTGCCTAGCATCATTTATTGGAAAAATAATTCTGTCACCACTGCAGTGATATCCTTTGGTGTTTTTAGCAGTTTTATTGAGATACAGTTCACATACCATACAATTTATATAATCCTTGTAATGTATACAGTTAATAGGTTTCTAAGTGTTCATGTATAGATATATACAATCTTCACCACAGTCAATGTTAGAACATTTTCATCACCTCAGAAAGACCAGAATCAAAACCAGAAGTACACCTGGAGAGAGAGGCGGAAAGAGAGGGAGAGTGGGCTGGGGATTTAGCTCACTGGTTTCCCTGCCTGCTTCGCAAGTACAGGGTCCCAAATTTGATCCCTCAGTACCAAAAAAGGAAAAGAGGGAGAGTGGAGAGAGAGAAGGAGGACAAGGAAAATGAGAGAAGGAAGGAACAGAAGTCTAGAATATACCTTTCCAGGTCACGTCCCTAGCGGTTCGCCTCTTCTGGCTAGGAGTACATTCAGCTCTGAGCTCATGCGCTGATGAGTATAGCTCTCCTTTGGTCATTCACCTTCCAAAAGCCTCACCTGTGAACATGTGAGACTTTTGGAGGTCATTTCAGATCTGAACCATAACATTCTGCACCTGGTCCCCGAAAGGCTTGTATCTGTCTCATTATGCAAAATCCATTTAGTCTCTAAAAGTCACCAAAATGTTAACAGTTCCAGTACTGAAAAGTACTGAAAAGTCTAATAAGTGCAGAGTGTCCTCTGAGATTCAAGGCAAACTCTTAGGTATGAGGCCCTGTACAAATCTGAAAAAAGTTAAATACTTTCAACATGTAATTAATTGCACAGGGTAAATATTCCCATTTTAAGAGGAAGGAATAGAGGGATATAATGGAATTGGATCAATGCAAGACTCAAAACTAGCCAGGAAAACATTAAATTCTGTAATTCCGTACCTACTAGCCAGGGCAGGTTGTAAATTCCAGAGGGCTTGGGCAGCCCCACCTGTGATGTTACAGTTCATATGGCCTATCTCTTAGCCTGGCTCTACTTGCTGCCTTCTGCTTTCCTTGATGGACATGGCATATTGCTAGCATCTTTTAATTTCCTGAGATCTCCATCACACCTTTAGTTTCATTATTACAGCTTTGTGCATTGCCCTCAGGGTCACATTGCCTGCCCTCCAAGGCTTTCCTTTGAAATCTGGGTGGAAATCTTTATGACCCTACAGCTCTTATATTCTGCATTTCTGAAAAACCATCACCACATGAAATATACTAAGGTCTTCTGCCAGCTGGGACAGTAGCCTGGCCCCCTTGGACCATCGTTGGAGGGGCCTCTGAGTACCTGAATAGCTGAACTCAGGACAACTCTAAATAAGCAGGCATTCTTGGGCTCTCTTCTCAAAGTAAAGTCTACCAAAGGAGTTCACCCTTTTTCACCCTTCAGCCTAGGATCGGTGAGGTCTGGCCATTTCCTGAGATGCCCACAAATTGTCTGTCCTATTGTCCTGCTGCAAAGTACTTGGCTTCTTTTCATTGCTTTTCAGCAATCATGCTGTGATTGGCTCCGACTTTACATACACTTCCTTTCTGGCCAAGTTGCAAAATTTTCTCATCTTTCCACTCTGTTTTTGCTCTTATTCTTACTATATAGATCTAGCTAAAAGCAGCCAGCAGTACTCATACCATAGCTTGAACATTGGGCTGCCTTGAAATTTCCTCCACAATATTGATAGTCCACTACCTTTAAATTCAGTCTCACATAAAGTCTTAGGATATGGAAAAAATGCAGACAAATTCTTTGTCAGTATGTAACACTCATGACCTCTAGTCCAGTCACCAATAGAGCTCTTATTCCCAGCTGAAACTTCCTAAGTCTGACCTTTACTGTCTGCATTTATATCAGCATTCTGATCTTTTGATCTTTTGCCAGTATTGCCATCAAGCACTGCTCAAAACATCCTAAGGCTTCTGTAGGCTTCTTCTCCAAACTTTTCTAAATTCCTCCCACAGACCTGTTCCAGAGGCTTCTGAAGAACATGATTAAGAACAGTCACAGCAATGACCCCACTTTGGACACTGATTTTCTGTATTGGTCACACTTTACTGTCACTGGGACAGAATACCTAACATCCACAGTTTAAGAAGGAGATGTTTGTTTTGGATCATGATTTTAGTGGCTGGCAGCAAGACAGAAATGGCATGATGGAAGGACAAGGAGAGGGAAAGCTGCCAGGGAGGGGAGAGAGGAAGAGAGAGAGAGAGGAAAAGGAGGAGCAAAGGATGAGAATATACCCTTCTAGATCATCTCCCAGTGTTCCCCCCCCCTTTTTTTCCCAGCCAAGGCCTCACTTTGTAGTTCATGCTGGCCTTAAACTCACTATGTAGCTCAAGCTGGCCTCAAATTCCTAGCAATCCTCCTGCCTCAGCCTCCTGAGTGCTGGGATTGCAGGCGTGCACTACCACACAAAGTCCATTCTGTCTTTTCTGACTAGGCCACACCTCATCCTCTAGTGACTAGCTGCCCATGGTCAGTTGGCTTCCAAAAGTCATCCTACCTTTGAACACAAGACTTTTGGGGACATTTGATATCTAAACTATAACATGACTCATTGTATGTCACATTTTACTTTTTTATTCACCTGTGGATGGGCTTCTGGTTTATTTCTACTTCTTGGTTATTATGGATAATGCTACTGTAAACATTTGTATGTAAGTTTTTGTATAGACTTGCATTTTCCTTTCTTTCAGATGTATTGCACACCTAAGAATGGAATTAATGAATGAAATGGTAGCTATATTTAACTGTCTGAGGAAATGCCAGATTCTTCCCAAAGTGGCTGAACTGTTTTATATTCCCATCAGTCGTGTATGAGGGTTCTCTTATCTGCTTATGTCTTTTTTTTTGTACTGGGGCTCAAACTTGGGTCCTTGTGCTTGTAAGGCAGGTGGCAGAACCACTGAGCCAAATCCCAGGCCCCTGGTTCTCGTTTCTCTATATCCTTGCCAACAAGTTTTCCTTTTTGTTTTGGTTTTATTTAGTTACATTCATCCTAATAGGAGTGAAGTGATTGATAGCTCAGTGTGGTTTTGATTTGCTTTTCTCTTACGATTGATGGTGCTGAGATCTTTTCATGTGCTTAGTGGCTCTTTGTATGTCTTTTTTTTTTTTTTTTT